CGTCGGGCGTTAGTAAATCGTGTACTGATCTTTCTGATATTGTCATTATCATACACATGAACATCGCCATCAATGATTAGCTTATCATACGAGAGAAAAGAATTCTTGTCGTGATTGCGAGCATCAACCATGAATGGAATTAAAGCTGCTCTTGTCTTCCTAACTCTCTCTGTATAATCATTTGCTACTCGGAATTGTTCATTGCCTTTAAGTTTCTGTTTGGCAAGATCAGTTATTCTTACCTTATCCTTGTAGGATAGGAACTTCACAATGATAGGTTTACGGTTTCCTCTGCTTTTAAGTCGGTGAGCTCTCTCGATGTCGATGTTGTCGGCGTTGTCCATACCGAGGTTGTCGTGTAGGAAGTCTCTCACAAGACGTTCAGTCTCTGCCCATTTCTCTCCTACAATGCCTTCCACTCCGTGAATGATGAGATTATTTCTCCTACTGTGTGCTTCACCTTTATCCACTGCATCCTCGAGTCTGGATAGTCTCTCTTTTAATTCTGAGTTTTCTGTCTTTATTTTCGTAAACTCGTCTGTGATTTCCTTTCTCATCGTGTCGAACTTATTGTTCAGTTTGCTTATGTCAGATCTGATCAGATGAAGGACACTGGTGTTATCTTCATCACAGATGTCGGACTCACCATGATCAGAGTTGCCATCACCATTAAACGCTAATGTAGACTGTCTTGTCTTAGCCCGGGCACCCCCGCTCGCTCCACCCCGACCCCGTGGGCCAGGGTTCGACTCCACATCCGAACACAGTTCCAAAAGGCGGCGGACAAAAGGAACAGATATTACATTCAAAACATCCTTCATATTATTTTCGTCATTGAAAATGTTCATTGTACATACACACCGATCAGATTTCGAACTGTAACGATCGCAGAGGTATTTCCCACTCACGTGAATAATCAAATTCAGAACAAGTAATAACTTCAATTGTCTGATTAAAAATGTTCCTCGAATGTAAATTTTTTCAATACTTGCCGTGAGTTGCTTCGACTGGGACAAAAACATCCAATGCGTCCACGCCAACAATCTAGTGAGTCTCCCATGCTGCACGTGAAATTGACAGCTTCACGCTTGACTTGTGAGTGACAGCTATCGACAATGCATTGTCTTCAGATCATGTACACTAATTTTCAATATATAGCTATAAATTCTGCTTCGATCTGACAGATATTGCTTCCGAATACTCACACTGGTATGGGAAAACTATTTATCTCTCAGGGTACAAGTAATGCTGTGTTATTTATCCGTTTTGTCACCTTTTTTGTCAGCACGACGTGAACACGTCCGATCACACCTGACGCATGCGCAATCTAAAGGCCGGGATAATGCTACAAACAGGTCAAGGTCACTCTTACTCGTTTGGAAATAATTTACCCAACATTGGACTGTGCATAATTCATTAGCCCCTGCCTCTCACGACTGCATATATGGCGTCAAGAAATCACTCCATTAGTGCAAGTGCACTACTGGAAATAGCCATCCCCAAAATAAACATACACTGAGATATAGCGCCGCCCTGTTGTGACTCAGTCAACTTGGAAAGTATTGAAATTAAAATGTTGGAAGTGTGAATGAACCTGCTGTACTGAAGCCTTTGCAGAACGGTATCTCTCCACATAGTTGGTCAAGTGGCCGCATGTAGATTCACATTACTAAAGGTTATTTACCAGAAATTAGGTCTGATGATATTGATGAAAGTGCATGCGTGCGTGTGCGTGCGTGCACGCTAGTCCGGACAAACGCTAGTGCTATCCTAGACTAAGGCTTAGTCTCTGAATATATATAATTTTGATAGTAACAAACAAGCCCATTTATATTGAAAAGGAGCCCTAGGGAGACCAGAGATCCTGAACCTGAGGAAATCTAGACTTGCTTTATTTAGGGCTTTAGCACTGCAGAGAGGGCTTGGCAGTAGGGAAATTAATGTGGTTCAGGGACTGTGAGACAGACTAGTGCTATCCCCGTGATACGATGCTGTAGTTTAAGATGGATACCATTCTCAGACAACATATACTGACTCCGACACGACCAGCCCTTGTTCTTTCACCTCAATGTCAAGGCGAGAACAGCGTAACATTAAATACACTCTTTAGGCGTAAGATTCGACCGTGTATCGGACCACCCATCATCTGCTCTATTGGCAGATGCTCTATCCACTTAACCAAGGAGTCCGTCACACGGGGGCTCCGTTCAGCCACGACTCAAGATTCCACATTATACTACCGACAGATTCCCGTGAAGATCCGAGTTAGAACTGGTCTTCAGTAACCCATTTCTCGTAACAGGCAACTAACGAGATCGGGTTGACATATCATCACGGACTTTTAATGATCCATTCATATAAGTTTCACAGCTATTATTCCATTTACGCCCGATGAATCTGTTTCAACAGATAATCGGAACATGGTAATCTCTTCTTCTTCTTCTCCATGCGGTATCTTCGGGCTGTTGTGACACAAAAAAGCTTTCAAGACCACCAGATGGCCACAGCCCCAACGACCTGTTCTAGCACTGTAAATAAAACGTTGTCAATTTGACAACTAAAAAGTTGTCAAATGGGGGTGCCTTAGATAACAACTTGAGTTGTCAATTTGACAATGGGCAACTTTTTGACAATGCATTTGGGTTGTCATTCACATGGTTGTATATTCAAATTGTTGTCAAGAGATATTCAATTTGAATATATTATATATTCAAAATTGGCAATGGAAAAGATGTCAATTTAATGCATGTCGATTGTCACAATGACAATGGCATAATATAAACACACAACCAATGGCAAACAATATAAGTATCATACCGTAAGTATGACTACAATTTCAAAATACAATTCATGCATTTAGGAATAAGCATTATCTTGTGAAAACAAACATGAACACTTGTGTGGAGAACAATATCTTTTATTTCTAAACAATCAATCATGTGTACTGTATTTCATTAGTATATGAACAATGTGTGTATATGGTTGTAACCCACATATATAGATGTGTGTGTGTGCATGCGTGCGTAAATGTATCTGTGTATGCATGTGTGTGTATGTATGTGTATGCACACGTGCGTGCATGTGTGTATGTATGCATGCATGTGTACAATTCATGTATAAGACATGAGACCACCTGAGAAATCAGAAAATAAATATAGGAAACTTTTACTTTTGTTTCTCTTTGATGTATTTCTTATGTATTTCCGTAACAACCATATAATGCTATCAATCTGCCAATCAAGGTCAACCAAATACTGTGTTAATGACCTAACACCTTATCAGTCATGGCTTACTGCACAGAAGTGCCACTCAGGGTCACACAAAAGGACCATAGGCCACAGGGAAATTTCATCCAGATCAATTAAATGTTATAGGCCACAGAGGGAAGTGCTACAGAGATACTTAACAACCGTGACACAGAATCGAAACAAACATCATTTCTAAAGAAATATTATTTGGAAATCTCAAGGACATCCTCAGTAATTTCTATCATAAGCAAAAATATCCGATCATGAAAATTGTACTCCTCCTATGTCATGGAAAATCATCAATACCATCAAACATTGCATCAACTTCAAACCTTACCTCTCTATAGACATCTCACAGTACTTTAAATAAAAACATGTTAGAGTTTTGTTGAAATAATTTTCTACTAAACTCTGAATTAGAAAGGCATAGTAATAAACACACAAATGTCATTGCATGTGGTTACTGTCTTCTGTCTAGTGTGAGTATGGAACAAATTTCAAGATATCACAGCATTTCTCAACTTCTACACAAAGAATGTCTAAAATTACTTTAAAATTAATTATCTAAAAAACTCATATCTGAAACTCTCGTAATTACTGTCAGATGACCATATGCAAGCAACATATGGTAGCTCTACAACAATACAAATACATTCACGAACAATGATTCCATTTAAACCCCTATAATTATAAGTAATAATAACCTCTCCTATCATGCATGCATACCTGCTTTGTGATGTTCGTATTGTTTAAAGTTGGATTATTCAAGCAAAACATATCTGAATTGTAGGGGATACCAGGGTCAATTGTAACATTTTCATTGAACACAATGTTTTAGGATACTGCTAAAGCCCTAAATAAAAAACTGTAAATGCAGCATGTCTAGATTCCCCAGGTTCTAGTCTCCTTGGGCCTCCTTTTCAATATAAATGGGCTTGTTTGTTACTATCAAAATTATATATATTCAGATTCTAAGTGTTAGTCTAATCAAACACTACGATATGTATATGCAATACTTTACTATATTCAGAGGGGAGTATTTCTAAAATATAACGCATGAGATAGAATATTTAGTCTCACAGTTATGGTCCTTGTGACTATTTCCCAATGTTACAATTGACTCCGGTCTGTTCTAGTCAGCACATTTAATTTCCTGCAATTAGTTTCGAGATCACGGAATTGACTGATTTTTCAACATTCTTGGTTTTCAAGGTTTTTTTAACCCATCAATTTATTGTTGATTTTCAGCAAAATTTTGTCCAAGAAAAAATGGGATTTGCTGAGACCTTGTGCACATTGCAAATTATCGATGTAAAAAACTGACAGGTAAACCTTGAGGGCATCAATAATATTGTCAGTAGCGTACACTTTCTGTCCCTCAGAAAACACATGGAAAACGCAAACGTCCATGAAGGCTTCTTCTGCAACTCCATCGTAGAGAATGAAGGATGTAATTGCAACCCAAAATGGAAATGAAATACTTGTTCTAGGCCGTGCAAACGGTGTGCCCTTGCGCCACTTAAGTTAAAGGAATAAACATATGTAAAACCTACTTATATAAATATTTATCTACTTATAAATATTCATACCATGAATACTTATTTTCGTTTTGCATGAAAAGTACTTGAACACATAATACTTTCTTTACAAACTTATATGATGTAGAACAACGAATTATGGATTAACATCAACTCACAATTGCTCCTATTTTTTAACAAAGTAACACTATCCAGTGTAACTCACTTGACAGTCCTTTACAATGAAGGTCTTCGCCTCATCTCTTAGGAGTCCGGGAAGACCCAGGATCACTGTGGCCAGTACTGCATCTTTACAAAGGATAGAGTATAACATAATTGACACTATTACCATAATTAATTGTAGGCATAACTGAACACATGGTTACACAACGAGACTGTTGTATCACCTAATGAAAAATATATCAGGTTTTCAGAAAGCTACAATCCTTCCATTCACTGTCCAAATTACCTGGAGCATAAAATTATCCGTTAAACAAATAAAAAAGTTGTTTATAGATTATATTTTCAGGGACCAACCATTCATTGGGTGTATAGCTATATTTACGCAATAGCGTCTGAAACAGGAAAAAAACATGCTTACACTTTTTTCTGTTTCATCAGTTCTTGTATCCACGTCTTTCATCAAAGCTTTGACATAATCCTGGACTTTCGATGAATTTCTGATTAGGTAATAGATTCTTTCAGACACCTTTCCCAGTCGAGAGTATTCTGCACAGATCTGAAATCATAAACTATTTTGTGACAACATAACAAAAAAAACCCACACTTTTATTTATTTATTTTAAATTTTGAGTGACTGTTACAAATTATACAATATGAGAGAAAACATTACAAAACATTGGATTAAAAGTTATCGACATCATGGAATACATGTATATTCAAACAAAATCTGAGAAACTTACTATCGTGCTGCTACCTTCTAAATAAACTTCAGTCGCCAAATGAGTCCATCTTTGAAACCAGACGTCAATGATATCATTATTCTGATAATACAGAGGATATATGGAAACAAAAAAGGACAGTTCTTATTGATGGTATTATTGGCTTTACAGATACATTACAATTTGAGATATATCATTGAATAGGAAGTTCTTACTTTAAATTGTACATTTTAAACATATATAACCAATTTAATGCTGATATCGTACACATAAGGGACGTAACTCTAATGGTATGACTGAGCTAGGGGAGGTAACTCTAGTGTGTTGTCAATCTGTTGTTAATGTGACAAAGAAGGTTGTCAAATTTAAACCGTGTTCCTGAAAATAATGGAATAGAAAATATATGCGCTTAAACTGAACATCTTGACATTCTAAAGCACACGTAAGTACTTAATGTTATTACTCGACAGATATTTGTGTTATATCTAAGGCTATATGGCCAGTTATTCTTCGGAATGTGTGCACAAATTTGTATGCTGACCAGTTGAGACATTTCTTCATGATTTTCCGTTAATATGGACAATGCGAGAAACAGAAACACGGTATTTGTACTCTTTAGTTATCTAATGAAAGGAAATTGTAAAAGTGTTTTGCATATACTTACTATAACCACTCTTCCCGCTCACTTTGACGCTGCCGACGCGTTACAACTCATTTACTGTGACCTTCGCTGTGAAGGACATTGGAACTGCGCATGCGCTCAATCCGTCAAGTTTGACAACCTTGTATTGTCAAAGTTTGAGAAAACTCAAAATATGACAATGCTTTGACAATAAACTATTGTCAAGACATATCCTGTGTAAAACGCGTGGTTAAACTATAAACATGATCGTTAACACTATCTAAATATCATATCTAATGAATGTTTGTTTTAAAGCAATCAGTATAAGACTCGCAATGTTGTCACAATAACAACATGGGTTGTCATACTGACAACTCTCAATGTTCAAACTGACAACTTATAATTGTCAAAGCAATAATGACAACGCTAAAATTGTCAAATTGACAACGTTTTATTCTCAGACCATGCACTCTCGAAAGTTTCCCGAATTCAAAGCATCCTGTGTACGTGACCTCGTGGTCGGTCGTAATGATGACCAGTGGTGACCAAGCAGGTACCTGGTATAGGCAGGTACCAGGTATATGCAGCGATATCCATTAGTCTGGGGATCCTGAAGATGGCATCCCTAAATCGAGGCTGAAGCATTTCATGGCGGAGTATAAGCCGTGTTCGGCATGCCTATTGGTCCAGGTTCGTTAGAAGCTGTATCATCGAGCCTTTTACACGTCGTGATATATTTCAAATACTGTTCGAAGCGGCACAAACCATATTCGCTTACTCACTACTTCCTTGTTGGCTGCCCTGGGTGAACGCTTGAAGATTTACACACAACATCTTTGACAGCGTGGACAAGGATACCTCAACATTTACATATAAACCTGAATGTTCTGCACGTTTCAGTCCATCCAACTGTGTCATATGTGTAGACTAGACATTGCAGGAGATAGGGCGTGCCCCTGAGAAACACCAGCTGACATAACATTACCGGATTGGTCGCTCAGAGGGTTTGCCAGGGGTTTTTGACTCATGATATTGCATATTTCATCTGAAGTTTGTGCATGTTGAGTTTTAGGAACCCATTCAACTTCCAGGTAAGAACTATGCTCGCTGTATGGGGGAAAATATATATACGGATGAAGTGGTCAAGCATGTTGCATGGTTATTAAAATATCATTTATATTTATAAAATCAATATCGACACAAAACACATGCAGTGAAAGGTTAAAATTCAACTTTCGCTTATAGATGTAAACAGTGGAAATGAGCTGTTTCTGGTCATTTCTGAAACTCTGCCACAACCAAGAATGAGTGAATATGGTTTTACGCCGCTTTTAGCAATACCACGCACGGCGGACACCAGAAATGGAATGGGCTTCACACTATGTACCCATGTGGGGAATCTAACCCCCATCCCACACACCCTTCTCAAAGGTGTGCACTCCCCCCTTTCTCAAAAAGCTGCATCCGCCCTTGACCCGGTTTTTCGGGGTGACTAGCGAATGGTTAAACCACCAGGCTACCCCGCCGCCCAGCTGTAACCATGAGGCTAAAGAGCGGACTTGTGTCGCAACAAACCACCTGCCTTGAAAGTTGGTGTGAAACGTCCAGACGCGAGAAATATCATGATCTCAATTTACAAAATAGAACTTATAACAAACTGTGATCATCATCACTAGAAACACGTATTGAAACACAGCTATTCGCGGCGAGCGATGCTTCAGCCCAGTCAATCCCTTGACGTACGTATTACTAAATACTGCCCGGAGTTGTCAGTTTGTAGACATAAACATGTTTAGGAGGCAGGAAGTGGTATTTTGAATACGTACATCACACTTGCTGCGACCGGAAGTCTAGAAACTTCAGGTTAGAATCGAATCAGGTGATCAGGACTGCATGGTGCTTTGATTGATGACGTGTCAACGTTGTAGGTATTTCTCACAATATCAACCACCTGGTTGTCAGGTCCATATTCCATCATTTACATGCAGCCGGCGTGTGGCCGAATATTTCTGAGTGCATGGAGCGTGTGACAACTCATCAACGTGACCAGCATGACACAACACAAGGAAGCCCAGGACTACTGTCGTGTACCTACGCATACACATTACATAATGGGCGACAATGGCTTCCAGTGGACTTATCAAATTGCATGTATTGATTTGTTCGCGAATCCACTGTCGAATGCCAGTTGTGATGCAGCTTAGGACCAGGCAATGTTGTAATGAACGCGAAACACGTCAGGATGTCATTTATTACTTTTAACCATTTGTCAATTTCCTTCGACGTCAAGACAGTCTCTTTCTTGGGTCGATATAAAAATATTTAATTTGACATTGTAATCGTATTTTGTTGAGCTATCATAATATTCCTAGAATTAAACCACGAGAGGCAATTGTGACATGACGTAACATGAAATACGAGTACCAGATAGGATAAAGGACAGTGTTTGTTAAGTCTCTTCAAGTTCCTAATTAATACTTCTTCAAGATGGCACAGAACAGCCAAGCAAAAGAAAGTATATACCCATGTTGGATTAATGCTGAAACTGATACAAACAAGAACCTGATATACGACGGTGGAGTATTTGGTACGGCTGTCACGACTGTGTTTTGTGACATAATGTAACGTTAGCACTGGTTCGACGACTGTCTATGCACCAAGTAACAATTAACGTTTGTGATTCTTGCCAATCCAAATTTCAACCGTTTTCTATCTTTTGCCCGACATCTTCACATTCAAACTGTACATCTTAATTGTTAGTTTAGTTGTCACGATAGGGGGTCACAACTCTGCCCACTGCATCCATCCGTCAACACCCGCATTATTCCATAAACCGTTTGACCTTGAATCACAGGAGATGGTAGGGTTTTGTTTTGTTTGGTTTGGTTGTTTAACGCCACATTCAGCAATAGTCCAGCCATATGGCGACGGTCTGGAAATATTCGAGTCTGGACCAGACAATCCAGTGATCAACATCATGAGCATCGATCTACGCAATCGGGATACGATGACTCAACCAAGTCAGCGAGCCGTATCTTCACGGGTGGAGCTGGTAAGGAATTACGCCCGCCATCGGACATCCGGGTTAGCATCAGTCTCTAGCAACCTTTGCTGCTCGTCATGGCGGATAGGCTGGTCAGTCTTGGTAACTCGTTTCACTGCTTATAAATGTATTCATGGTCTATGATCATAACATCAATCACTGGATTGTCTACTTCAGACTCCATTGCAGGATAGCTGGATACTGCAGAGTGAGATAAACAGGAAGAACACAGCACCCTGACTCACATCGTCATGTCGCATTTATCAAAAGTAACCCTGACAATCTGCATTTATTGTATGCACGTACTTCTTTGAATAAAACAGTAATACTAATAACTCCCTAGAACCACTGTTCTGTAGAGTGGAGTGACATGGAATATATATAATCCCCACAATCTGCAGACCATCCGCCCTCCCATAAAATCAACGTTTTGTGGAGTCCTGTTGTAAGGTAAATGTTACCGGAAGTAAGGGACCGTTCATAATTTATGGCTTGGGATGCAGCTGGGCGACGTTTTAAAAAGCCCAGAGGGGTCAAAATGGTTTTTTGAATTTTCTGTTTTAAAATTGGTAATTACCACTTTTTTCTGATAATTACAACTTTTTTCTGGTAATTACCACCTTTGAAACTGGTAATTACCACTTTTTTCTAATAAATACCACTTTTGAAACAAGTAAATTATAACTTTTAAATTTTACTTATTCATATTCATTTTATGAGTTTTAAAATAATCTCTTAATATCACGATTGAACTTTCATTTTACATACTGAATGTTATGTAATTGTTTTTCCATTTTAAAAAATAACGCCATGGATTATTGATTGTTGCATTTTTGTTTGCATATAGCTTCTACAAATATATTTTTATCATTTCAGATTATCTAGATACACATGTAACATTTTCAGTTTCGGTATTAAAGAAAAGCCAGAGCTTACATTTTTTTCATGACAGGAATGTCTTGTCTAAATCTAGAGTTTATTTTGTGCATTTTCATTTTGTAATTGACTGATGAGAAAACTTTAACTTACTCGTTTAATTTAAATGTATAGAGAATCTCACCCGAGTGTCTTTGATATCAAATATATCACCACAAGTTGATAAAGTCACAAATATCCGAGGCATGTAATAAACGAGTGTTGATATACATGTATTTGATATCAGAAGACACGAGGGTGAGATTCTATTTATCATAACAAAATCACTCTTCATTAGTTTTCAATAGAAAAAGTGTACATCTCTGATCATGGTACTGCCATTAGACTTGCACAGTAGCGATGTCATTGCATTGTGATGTCATCAGGTTTTTGACGTCATATCATTGTGAGTCATGCATTGACGTCAGAGCATTGTATAAAAACTACTGTCAAAACGATATCTCCTAGCAGACATCGTTTGATCTCATACAGGCAATATCTCCGGTGGAACACATTTTTTTAATAACCGTGGAAGACACTGCAGTGTAAAATTTTACGGCAATTAAAACGCATAAAATTGATGTGAATAAGAATACGAGGGGCGATCAAAAAGTATGTAGAATCACCAAGAAAACGATACAAATGCAGTTATTTATAGATTTTATTTTTCTACATATTATCTGTCAAGCTCAAGCAATTTGGTTTTGCTATGTTCAAGTCTCACGATCCCCATTTTGTTTGACCTTTCCTCTTGGTACCCTAAAAAACCGCACAATCTACAATAAATGCATCAAAAACTTCAGGAAACAAAATATGCAAGAAATATTTTGTGTGTTTGAGATTGATAGAAGTCCCCTGAATCACACTTAGATATTAAAGTTCATAAAAAAGCAATTTGAAATTACAATCGCTTGTTAAAGTGACTCCCCACTTCATGTTGACTGAAAGCGCTTGTTTTGGAGACACTACCCATCCCCCTTTCAGATAATCATAAGGGCATAGATTATTTTAATGTTTTCACTTATGCATACATGATGCAAAGGGTTCAAACTAAATACTGAATGGTCACACAAGTGTCGAGAATATAGTTAGGCTACGTACTTTTTGATCAAACCCTCGTAAATACAAATTAAAAGTTCTAATTAACTTGTTTCAAATGTGGTAATTACCAGAGAAAAAAGTGGTAATTACTAGTTTCAAAAGTGGTAATTACCAGAAAAAAGTGGTTATTACCAATTTTTGAAAAGAAAATTAAAAAACCCATTTTGACCCCTCTGGGCTTTCGTAACATTTACTGCTTGAAATACTACGAGCACGGGCATTGTGCTGGCACACCTTGCAGGGAAACCAGTACATTTACATGGACACACAACCCACAGCGTGCTCTCGTGTACAAGGGACGCAACTCTACACAATTAGCACTACCGGGAACATGATCAGTCGGTAGTATATAGTTCATGACAAA